AACTTTATGTGTCTTTGTGGTTTACTTTTTGGGCATGAAAAGCTGGTTCATCTAAGCCTCTGGTTCTCTCTTTTGATTTTATATTGGAGCCAGATTGCTTTTGTCTTCAGGAGTTCCCACAGAGGCCCAAGTCAGATGAGGATCAGATGCTCTCAGGCTTTCTCCTAAGGTCTGGATCCCTCCCGGAAAGACTTTGTCCTCAGGAATTTGGGGGTTGTACTGGCCTGGGAGCAGGGCCCAGGAAAGATGCTGTTCTAGGGCAGTAGTGGCCACGCCACCCAAAGATGCAAAAGGATGTGGGGGCGGGAAGAGGCCCCAAGGGCTCCTGGGGACTGCACTGAGGAACTGGGTTGGTCTGGGTGCAAAGGATCAGGAAGTGGAAAGGTCAGCCCTGGCATCAAGGAAAGAGACTGGCGGGTTGTGCAGCCCAGGGAAGGAGAGGGAGGTAGGAGCAGGGCTAGGCCCAGAGAGCTCCTGGGGACCTGAGAGGGAGCTGGGTTGGTCTGGATGCAAAGGATCAGGAAGCAGTGGTGGTTCCCCTGGTGGAACCATCTACCTAGGAGGATAGATGGGCAAGGAAGATGGGAGGGTGAATGAGGCTGGGGGAGTCAAGGCACGGAGGGTACAATCGACTTACCCCAGAGAGAGGCCTGTGGGTCATGCAGGCCCAGAGAAGCAGAGGTAGGTGGGGGTGGGGCCAGGCCTAGAGGGCTCCTGGGTACCTGAGAAGGAATTGGGTTGGTCTGGATGCAAAGAATCAGGAAGCAGTGGTGGTTCCCCCAGTGTCTGGGGCACCAAGAGAAGGAATGGGACAGGACCCAGGCTAGGAGGAGAGACTGGCAAGGGAGATGGGAGGGTGAATGAGGCTGTGGGAGTCAAGGTGCGCAAGGCCCGATCAACTTACCCTGGAGAGAGGCCTGCGGGTTGTGCAGGCCCAGGGAATCAGAGGGAGGTCTTTCTTAACTTTTTTGAGGCACGGTCTCATGTAACCCAGGTTGGCCTCAAACTTGGCATGTAGTTGAAGGTGACCTTAAACTTCTGATCTGTATTGCTTCCATGTCTTTAGACCTGGGATTACAGGCATGTCCTACCACACCTGGTTTATGCAATGCTGGAGACTGAACCCATTTTCCCAATGGAGCCACAAACCTAGCCCAGATCATCAAAACATTTAAATTTTCTTATCAATATTAGTTATTTGATAATTACTATATGCTAGACCCAGTGCTTAGCATTTTCTCAAGACCCTCCAAAGTTTCATAGCACATTTAGGAGGAAAGCAACTAATTCTTTTTTATATAATTCTTCTTTATAAGCTCCACATAATCTGGCTCCTTAACTCTGTAGTCTCCTTTCACTTGATACTCCCTGAGAAGTGCCCAATGTTCTAGCTTTCCTTCAATTGCCATGACAAAATAGTCTGACCAATACCAACTCTGGAAGGAAAAGGTTTATATGGCTTACACCTCCTGGGTCACAGTTCAGCACTAAGGGAGCCCAAGGTAGGAACTCAGGGCAGGAACCTGGAGGCAGGAGCTGGAGCACAGACCATGGATTGTTCCCTGGTCCATACTCAGCCTGCTTTCTTATGCAACACAGAACAGCATGCCCAGGGGTGGCACCACCCACAGTGGGCTGGCCCTCCCACATTACTCAATAATCAAGGTGCCCCACAGACATGGCCACAGGCATGGAGGCAATTCACCAATTGAGGTTCCCTCTACCAGGGTATGTCAAGTTGACAACTAAAGCTATCCAGCACACCCAATATTCATATGGTCTGCTTCTTCATTCATGAAGACCCAGAATTCAAATTCTCTATTTCCAGGGGCTAGAGAGATGGCTCAGTGGTTAAGAGCACTGACTGCTCTTGCAGAGGACCCAGGTTCAATTCCCAGGACCCACATGAGCGGCTACGAACTGTCCTTAATTCCAGTTCCAGAGGAATCCAAAGCCCTCTTCTGACCTCTAGGGCATTGTATGACACAGGTCCCCTCACATATATACAGACAATACACTCATACACATAAAATAAAAAAATAACAATTTTTTTTAATTAAAAAAAAATTCTCCATTTTCAGAAAAGTCTCTTCTGCCTACTTTAAAACAAAGATCTTGGGGCTGGAGCGATGACTCAGCAGTTAAGAGCACTAGGTGCTCTTACAGAGGACCAGGGTTTGATTCCCAGCACCCATATGGTGCCTAACAACTGTTCCTAACTCCGAAGCCCTTTTCTGATCTCTTCAGGCATTGCACAAGATGGGCACACTTACATACAGGGAGATAATACACTCATACATGTAAAATAAAAACAAAAATTTAAAAATAAAATAAAACAACAATCCCTGTCATTTTCCACCCATCTGACCTGTTTTTTCTTCAGAAAACTTACTACTCAATGAGATATTCTACAACTACTAATTTCTTTTAAAAATTAAGTTTTTATTTTTATTTTATTTTTGTGGCACTGGGGAATAAACTCAAGACCTTGCACATGCTAGGTAGGTACTCTGACAACTGAGCTATATCCCTCACTCTTACTGTTTTATCTTCCTTGGAATTTATTGCAATATGCTGTGACTCAGAGACCATGTCTTGATTACTCTTGTTTTCAGCATCCAGAACAGTACACCTTTCACTATAGATGATAAATGAGTACGTTAGTAAACAAGTTATCTCACTGTATCTTCAGATAAGCCTGAGAGAACTGCTATTCCTGTGTCCATCTCAGGGTAAACAATTTGCCTATGGCCATAAGCTATAAGAAAAGAGTAAGGATTTGAACCCAAGAAATTTAAAAACATACTTCCAGTACAACTCAATCTGTGGCAAAGAACTAGTTTTGAAGTTACTAGCCTACTACAGACCAATACTTTCTTTTAATTGTTAATTTTTATTTATTTATTGTGGGGGGACCACATGCCACGGCTCACATATGGAAGTCAAGAGGACAACTCCAGGAGTCAGTTTTGTCCTTCTACCATGTGGATCCCAAGGAACAAACTCATGCTGTCAGGCTTAGCATCAGACACCACTACCCACTAAATCATCTCACTGCCCCAAAACCAATACTTTTTAAACTACAACAAAAGTGTCATAATACTTTCAAGTTGTTGTAAAAGTTTCTAAAATCTTACTCTTAATTTTTATCATTATCTTGTCATGACCCAGTTCTGGTGTACACCCTTTGATTAGCTTCCAGATAAGGCATTAAAATAAACTGTTACAGTTCAGTTTTTCTGACATCTGGCTGCATATTCAAATTACCACAGTTTAAAATTAATGTCAATGACCAGACAACTCCCTTCACCCAGCAAGATCTCTAAACTAGTAAAAGCAATTTTTAAAGGTATATACGAGAAAGTACAAAATGCTATCTTCTAAGTGCAACATTTTAGTAGTTTAAACAGATTAAAAACAATTACACAGAAAATCCTAGACCAACCACAATCTGACCACGATCTGAAAAACAAAATCAGTTATCTTAACTCTAGCCCAACTATGGGATAGGAACTGGAGGTGTATGTTTCTGATGGCCCAAAGGGAAAAGCAGAGTACATACAAAAAGCACAGGGAGTGGTGCTAACACTAACAGCACACACCCTGGGCTTTCCAATGTTGAGGTATTTTTAAACTATCTTTCACTGAAACAACTCAGGTAGTAGCACTTTCTATTTCTCATCTGAATTCCATGCTTCTGAAACATCTGAGCACTCACAAGAAGAAAAAAAATTACTTACAGCTCTTTCAAGTGAGTCTGAGAAAAAGCATTTTCTTGGATAGACATTATAGCATTGTTGTTCAAATCTCTAAAATGAAGAAAAGTGAAGCACTATCAACAATCACTTCTACAGTTAGATTACATAAATATTAAACACTCATGACAATCTCAGCCAGTAGCAAAGAATTTTTTTTTAAATACAAGGTCTCACTAGGTAGCCCCAGCTGGCCTCAAACTCACAGAGACCTGCCTGCCCCTGCTGCCCCAGTGCTGGGATTAAAGGTGTGCACCACCACACCCAGCAAAGATTATTTATATAATGAATAAATATATGAAGAATACTTACAGATGCTCAAGGGATTCAAGACCAATGAATGCTTTCTTTGTAATTGACTTAATCTGGTTTCCTTGTAAGATTCTGAAATAAAATTAAATTCATTAAATATTTACCTATACAAGATGAAAATAAACTAAATGTTCACTTCATAGCATTTGAATCGCTTTACATTACTATGAAGGTTTCTATCAAGATTGAGAGTTCAATGAAGCAACTCTGAATATCCATCCTGACTGTAAAGTGCTGGTAGTCTGCCTATGCTAAATGAGGTTAAATCCCCATATCTCTCTAATAAGAGATGATCAGGTCAAAGAAATTCAGAAATGCTTCACCAGGGCTGTAGCAATGACTCAGCAGTTAAGAGCATTTGTTGCTCTTACAAAGGACCCAGGTTTGGTTCCAGGGGACCCAATGCCCTCTTCTGGCCTCCAAATGAATTGCACACACGTGGTACCCTAGCACACATGCAGGCAAAACACTCAAATACAAAATACAAAATAAATAAATCAAAAAAAATATTTTAAAAAATATTTTATTTATTATTTTTATTTTATGTGCATGAGTGTATTGCCTGCATGTGAGTGCACCTGTAACGTGCAATGCCGTGGAGGTCAGAAGAGGGCTTCAGATTCCCCTGGAACTGGAGTTGAAGATGGTTCGTAGCCACCACGTGGGTGCTGGGAATCAAACCCAGGGCCTCTGTAAGAGCAGTCAGTGCTCTTAACCGCTGAGCCATCTCTCCAGCCCCCAAAAAAATATTTTTTAAGAAAAATAAGTAAAATGTTTCATGAGAGTATTTCCCCCTTTACTAGATGAATTATCCATAAATCTCAGGTGATTAAATACACACTACCAGTTCAACCACACTTCCTTAGTGCATTTTCCTTACTTGAACAGAAAACTCAATACTAATAACTTGTCTTTAAACCACCATAGGAATGGGAACACAAACTTGTGTGGTCACTACACAATCAGTATGCAGGTACCTCCAAAATCTGAAACTAGAGCTACCACCTCACCCAGCTGTACTGCTGGGGATATATACCCAAAAGACTCAGTCAACACCTACATACTCATGCTTACTGCTGCACTACTCTCAGCAGCCAGGAAATGGGACCAGCCTGATGCTCATCTTTTTGGACGGATAAAGATATAGGGGCTGGAGAGATAACTTAGCAATTAAGAGCACTGGCTGCTCTTCCACAGGACCCAGTACCCACCTTCTTCTGACCTTCACAGGCATTGCAGGCACATGGTGCACTTACAGATATGCACATAAAATACTCATACATATAAAATAAAAATAAATTAAAAGGGGCTGGAAAGATGGCTCAGTGGATAAGAGCACTGGCTGTTCTTGCAGAAGACCTGGGTTTGATACCAGCACCCATATGGCAACTAACAACCACCTATAACTCCAGTTCCAGAAGATCTGATGCCCTCTTCTCACCTCCGGGCATTGCGTGACAGGGGTGCGCCTACCTACATGCAGGCAATACTCTTACACACATAAAATAAAAATAATAATTTTGACCATATAGAAAGACAATCAACAAAAAGGCCAAAAAAAAAAAAAGAAGGTATGATGCTCTGGCTTTCTGGCTATGTCAAATAAACACAATCCAGTAACATTTACAAATACATGTTTGTAGACATACATGAATATACGAATATCATAGATACATACAATTTAGTGAGACTTGTGAGTCCAGCAAAGGCTTCACTAGTATCTTCTATGGCCCATGAAATTTCATTATTTCTTAAGTCCCTAAAAAGGTGTCAGGGAAAGACAGGTTAAGTCAGTCAGCACGACCACACTACTGAGCAGCATCCTGGTATGACAGCATAAAGGCATGTGTTAATTTTGATCTTTATTTTAGGAGCTATTTATAATGAAGATGCAACCCTGCTTTTTAAAGGAATATCTGTGATAAATATAAAAGAGCTGATTAATAAATTAATTAAGCAACCTGGTAAGATTAATTTTTCTAGTTAACCGCACCTAATTGTACTAGCATATAAAAATTATAGACAGTGTACTACAAAAAGGACAGTTTCAAGATAATGGCAATATAGCTTACAAACTGATTTCAAGCAAATGATAATGGGATTTCTAGCTGACCCAAGCCTCCCTCTGGGCTCTTAACCTTAAAATGGCTCACAAAGAGTAATACCAATACAAAGCTTCACAGCTGAAGAACAAGTAAACATTCCCCTTGGGAAGCAAGAATGCTATATCCATGTGTAGGAACTGTACTTTCTTTAAAAGGAAAGTATGCTCTTTTAAAATCCCTATTCCATTTTCAGAGGAAGTACAACTGTATCACATCATGTGCTGGTGGAATATCAATTAAAATACTTAATCACTTTTGCCCTCTAGAGGCCATTTCATACTGAAAAGATTATATAAAATTGTATGAATACCAAGAAAAACCTTGTCTTGCTTACCTTTCTTTATTCGAAGTGAAATACTAACAGCACATTTTATTTTACTATCAACTCTTCAGAACTTGCCCCCTCCTCTAACAGCAAAACATAAAAAGAAATTATTCACCAAGCTGGGCATGGTGACACATGCCTATAAACTCGGGACTCAAGAGGCTAAGATAGGAAGATGGAGAGTTCAAAGCTAGCCTGGGGGACACAGCAGGACCTTGTCCCAAAACAGGGGGAAAAAAAAGAATCAATCATGTTGGGCATGTGGTACACACCTCTATCCCAACACTTGGGAAGCAGAAACAGGAGGATCAGGAGCCCATGGTCATTCTCAGTTACACAGTGAATCTGAGGTCAGTCTGAGCTGTATGAGACTCTGTTTCAGAAAGACACCCACCCCCCAATTCACCAAATTGAGTGAAAATATATACTCCTGGGATGGAGACAAAGTTCCATTGGCACAATGCTTGCCCAGCATGCTCAAGACCAAGGTTCTACCCCAGCACCAAATAAACTCAGTGCAGGAGCCTATAATTCCAGCACACGGACGGTAGAGGCAGATCAGGAGTTCAAGATCAGCCTCAGCTATACAGTGAGTTTGAGGCCAGCCTGGGAGCTAAAGTCAGTTTCTCCAATCTGACCCTAAATCCATTGTTAACAGCTTTGGCACTAGATAACCATTTTCTTCCTCGGTTTTCCTACACATTAATCATCAGCAGTATACTGAAAGAACCTGCTTGCCATCCCGTAAGGATCAGAAGGCTGCAGGTGTCTCAAAATTACGGTGTTTCCTTCTTACTGACTGTTAGGTCCCAAAGTTGGGAACCTACCACTTTTCTGAAATTTTGAACCTAATAATCACCATAGCTCCTATTCAAGAGCCATTAAGAATCTGCAGCCAGGCATGGTGGTGCACATCTTTAATTCCAGCACTTGGGAGGCAGAGGCAGGCAGATCTCTGTGAATTCGAGGCCAGCTTGGTCTACATAGCAAGTTCCAGGCTGGCAGGGGCTATAGGGAGACCCTGTCTCAAAAAGACCAAAAAAAAATAAATAAATAAAGCAGAAGGGGGGCAGAAGGGAATCAGCAAGAGTAGGGGGAGACAAGAGAGGGTAACAGGTGGTAAATACAATCAAAATGTACTATATACATACAACATATATGAAAATGTCATAATGAAACCCATTCTTATGTTTAATTAATATATGCTAATAACATCATTATAAATTTTAAAGAATCTACAAATTTTTTAAAAACTGTAAAATTAGGCGGGGGATACGGTTCAGTGAACACTTGCCTAGCTAGCACACAGATGGTCAAAATTAGTCATCAGTACCACCATCACCGAAAAAAAAAAAAAAAAAATACCCCACTACATTTAGCCAGGCATGGTGGTACACGCCTATAATCCTGGGAGGCAGAGGCAGGAGTTCAAGGCCAGCCTAAGCTACACAGTGAAATCCTGTCTCCAAAAAAACAAAAAGAAAAAAAGTTTCTTTTGGGTAAAGTCATGCAGCAGGAGCTGGGGATGTAGCTCCAGTGAACAACAGTGAACAGAACTGCTCCCACTATACCCCTAACTTCCCTCCAAGTGAAAGCTAAGAGTTCTGGTACACTAGCCACACCAGAGGAACAAGAAAATGGCAACTTCTTGATAGTAGCAACTGACAGTAATTATGAGAACTCAGAATTAAAATGTAAAACTGAGTGCCTGCTATAGGTGTAAGATTTATGGGGACAGAAATGAAAAAAGATAGCCTTGCCCAAGACATAAAATAAAAGAACAAAGGGTCGGGCATGGTGGCACACGCCTTTAATCCCAGCACTTGGGAGGCAGAGGCAGGCGGATCTCTGTGAGTTCAAGGCCAGCCTGGTCTACATAGTGGGTTCCAGGATAGCTGAGGCGATAGGGAGACCCTGTCTCAAAAAGACCAAAAAATAAATAATAAATTAATTACTTAAATAAATAAAAAACAGTAATATACACATTTTCAGATTGATTAGTTATTTTTGCTCCTTTGCTTTATTTCACTCTAAGAAAGAAAAAAACTTACAGTGTCTGAAGATTGGAAAGAAACCTAAATACACCATCGGCAATATGAGTGACTCTGTTGTCCCCTAAATTCAATCTCTCCAGTAAGCTCAGACCCACAAAGGCAGATTCATCAAGGCGGGTCAGCTGGTTATAGGACAAATCACTAAAAAACAGGAACATAGATGGTAAGGAATTCATTGTATTTTAACTCAATTTGCAAATTTTTATTATATTAACATGCTAAATTTAGTGTTTCCAACAAACATTAAGGAAAGAGGGTGCTAAATCTCATTACTGGCCATGGGAACAGCCTCCCATGAAATGCCATCCTACACTTACAGTTCAGACAGTCTCTGGCAAAACTCCCAGGCATCAGGGCTGATTCTCTCAATAGCATTCTGGCTCACATATAGTTGCTGTAGCATGCGTAAGCCGTACAGCCAGCCCTTGTTCACTCTAGTGAGGTTATTGTGCTCCAGTTCTCTGTAATCAGAGAAGAAATAACTCAAAATAAGGCATTTCAATAGCAAGCAGAGTTTTAAAGTTTCCTTAAGTTCCTACAAACACACACACACACACACACACACACACACACCATCTTTGCTGAGACCTAATTACCTAACAAATTCAAGAAGTCAGGAATATTTATGTCTTACTTAATTTAGTGCTAAAGAGACTTTAAAATATCTTATTGACAAAATCACTCCAAGTGGTTGATAAATTCTGATAATTTTTACCAAAGTAATATGAAATATAATTTTTCACATGAGAAGTTTAAGAATTGTAACAAAAACATCAGTTAACTAACAAAATTTTAAAAGAGCTCTATAAGACAGGGGTGTAGCTCAGTGGTAAAATGTGTACGGCATGTGAGAGGCCTTGGGTTCAATCTCTAACACCAATTAGAAAAGGAAGAGGAAGGAAGAGGAAAGGTCTGTGTGTACTTGTTTTACATCAGAAAATGGAGAAGGCAACTAATGTATCTGTAGAACCCTGAGACCCTCTTCGTTCACCCGCTACCCCCCAATCCCTCCAGACCCCCACTAATTGCTCTTTTAGCTTCTGTAAAATGCTTGGCTGCTGCTTTAGACATGCCTAGACATGCCCTGACCCCCGCCTGCTATTCTCTACCCCCCTTCCAGGAAACTATAGATTAAGCAAGCCGGGCATGAAAACTCCCCCAAAAGGTAAAAACGGAGACTCCTGGCCCCACAGGTAACAGTCAGCACATTCCACAGCCCTGAGAATAGCACCTACCAATAAGAAACTTCCAGGGCTGCATCTTATACATCCAATCAGTTTAAAATTATGTTGGCGCGCGCGGGCTCCTTGAACCAACCAAAATGTATCTTCGGTATCCCCCTCCTCTCTTTGTCTAAAACCTATAAAAGGCTCCACTCTCCCTTACTCTGGGCTCTCAGCACGGATCCCTTGAGTTGGTGAGGTCTGAGAGCCCGAGCTTAAGCCCGAATAAACCATAAACCTTTGCTTTTGCATTTTGGTGTGTTGGGTCCTCAGTGGTCTTTTTGGATGAGGTACAACATATCTTTGTTATTAACTAAGCAACCCCCTAGCTATTTGCCTTTGAAAAGTCCCAGAAAGATTTCTCCTAATAATCCCCTAGTCTAGCTCCCAGTACTTACAATTCTTCCATATTATTCAAGCCAAAAAATGCTCCATCTTTAAGGTTGCTAATTCCATTCCGTTGCATCTTCAATGATCTTAGGGAGTCAAGCCCTTGGAAAGTAAGACCTTCTACAATTTTAATCCTGTTTCTTTTAAGTTCCCTTAAACAAAACAAAACAAACAAAAAAAATCAACAGAACATTGGCTTCACTGGATTACTCTAACAGTAATTTAAAAGAATAAATACTGCACTTCCGTTAAGTTACTCACAAGAATTGGAGGTGAGGCAGCTTGAAGACTTTAGGTGGAATCATGCTAATTCTGTTCCGGTTTAACTTTACCACTAATAAGGAACTTGATAAGTTATCAAAGCAACCAGCCTCCAAGGTTGATATCCTATTGTTACTCAAATTCCTAAAATGACCAGGATAAGAGCAAAAGAAAAAAAATAGTGAAATAAAATTTCTACCACTGGAAAACTGCCTGAAGTCTGTAACTGGACTCTTCTACTACTTAACTATGTACAACCTGACAATTATTTAACTGCTATTTTGTGTACATATGCATGTGTGTATGTGTGTGTGGTAACCAGGTGAGTATACATGATGTGTGCAGGTGTCAGAGCAGGGAGGTCCTTCCTTCATCACTGTCTGCCTTACTGCCTGGAGACAGTGTTTCTCACTGGACCAGAAGCCCAGTCTCTCAATGAACCAGAAGTTTTCCATTTTGGCCAGGCTGCTAGCCACCGAGGTCAGGACCTACCCACCTCTGTCCCAAATGCTGGAGTTACAGGCACACAGCCAAGCCCATCTTTTCATGTGGGTGCCTACCATTCAAATTCAGATCCTTGTGCTTACAGAGAAAGTGCTTTTACTCACTGAGTCATCGCCCCAGCCCTTTATTTCTATTTTATTTCATAAATTGTTTTCTCTCTTCATCTATAAAATTAGTTATGTTAGGGCTAACAGTATAGCTCAGTGAGAGTGCTTGTCTAGCATGCGCCAAGGCCCAGGGTTTGATCACCAGCACTCAAAAGCAAGAGGAAAAGTATGGTTCCTACTTCACTTAGGATGCTATGAAGCAGTGTGTATCAATACACTTTGTGCTGGAAGTGGTGGCAAGATGCTTTAATCCCAGCACTTGGGAGGCAGAGGCAGGAGGATATCCATGTGTTCAAGGCCAGCCTGGTCTACATAGTGAGTTCCAGGGCAGCTGGGGCTACAGGGAGACCCTGTCTCAAAAAAGACCAAAAAAACAAAACAACAAATGAATACACTTTGTAAACTGGACTGTGCTGGCCTACATGTTAACTATCATTATTATACAGAGCAAGCTACTGCTTAACAAATCATTCCTATTTAATTTTCACAAAATTAATGAGAAGGGCTGGAGGTGTGGTTCAGTGGGAGTGTAATTGTCTAGCATGTTCAAAACCCTGGACTTGGTTCCCAGTATTTAACAAAAAAAAAAATCTAAAACTAAACCTTAGGCTGGCCAGATGGCTCAGGAGATAGAGTACTTGCAATACAAGCCTGACAGTCTGAGTTCAACTCCTGGGACCCATGTAAAGGTAGAAGAAGAAAGTCAACTCAGCAAAATTGTCCTCTGACCTCCACACACAAACTGTAGACCATGCACACTCTGCCACTCTAGACACAATTATAATAAATTAAATAAAAAAAAAATTTTTTAAACTAAATCTCATTGGGTGTGGTGGCGCACACCTTAGTCCCAGCACTTGGAAGGCAGAGGCGGGGGGATCTCTTTGAGTTCAAGGCCAGCCTGGTCTACATGGTGAGTTCCAGGCCTGCTGGGGCTACAGGGAGACCCTGTCTCAAAAAGACCAAAAAACAAAAGCCGGGCATGGTGGTGCACACCTGTAGTCCCAGCTCTTGGGAGGCAGAGGTAGGTGGATCTCTGTGAGTTCAAGGCCAGCCTGGTCTACGTAGTAAGTTTCAGGCCAGCTGCAGCTACAGGAAGTCCCTGTCTCAAAACGACAAAAAAAAAAAAAAAAAAAAAAAACAAAAAAAAAAAAAAAAAAAAAAAAAAAAAACACCTAAATCTCAAAAATTTGCTGTCAATGCCTACTAATTTTTTCTGACAACAGCACACACTTTCTTTTGGGGCAAAGGAGGGGGACAAACAATCCCCAAATCTCAATCCTAGTTTTGTTTCACACACACATACCAAATCAGTCAACAACAGACCTGAGGGAATATGGGTGCCAATGAATGATAAAAACGCACTTTAAAGTAAACCAGTACTATAGTTACTTCCCAGCTGACCACTCCCTAGCACTGTACTCAATAAACTACTTCCAATCAATCTATCAACTATGTAAATATAATTCTCTAATTACTTACAGGTATTTAAGCTGCATTCGAGGAAATGAAGATGTCTTGATTTCTGATATTACGTTGGAACTGAGGTCTAAACTCTCAAGAGCTGGGTAAAGCTGCAATGCCTCTGCATTTATTTCTGGGATGAAATTATGGACTCTACAAAAAAAAGATTACTTTAAAGCTATTGCCAGTGATCCACCCCAGACTACAAGGACATTAAATAACAAGAATCAACAGTATGGGTAAAGAGCAAATAAGAACTACACAGACACAGACACAGACACACACACACACACACACACACACACACACACACACACACACACACAAACACACGATATATGCATGTGTGTGTATATATATCTAAGTACACAATAAATTCATAATTAAATTAAGAATCTGAAACCCACTTATAGCCAAAGAATAATATTAGATGTTGGTTCTCCAAAATACAGGATTTCTGTACACACACAATTCATAATTAAATAAAAGATCTGAAATCTTACTTACAATGAAAGTAGAGTTATATTAGGTGTTGGCTCTCCAAAATAGGGGATTTCTGTTAGTTCATTGTAATTCATTTTCCTAAGCAAGAAAGAAAAGAGATTTGAAAGTTTAATAAGGGAAATATTACCTTCTAAATTCTGGTTTTTGGTTAATACGCTAATACATATTCTTTATGGTAGGTGCCAAACTGAAAAAGCCAATTTCTCAAAATTTGAAAAATCAGAAATTTTTGTTTTTTAAAGATTTATCTTTATTATTTTCATGAGTGTTTGCCTGCATGTATTTTTGTGTGCCACATGCATGCCTGGTGTCTGTGGAGGCCAGAAGAGGGCATTAGATACCCTGGAACTGGAGTTACAGGCAGTTGATGAGCTACCATGTAGCTGCTGGGAGCCAGGGCAGGTCCTCTAGAAGAGCAGCAAGTGCTCTTAAATGATGAGCAATCTCCCCAGCCCCCTTTATTTTATTTTATTTTATTTTATTTTATTTTTTAATTAGGTGTATGTGTGTGTCTGTGTGTGTGCACATGAACACAAGAGACCTTGAGCACCAGAGGTATCAGATTCCCTGGAGGTGGAGTTAAAAGGCAGTTATGAGCAGTCCTACATGGGTGCTGGGAAACCAACTCCAGTCCTCTGCAAGAGCAATACATGCTCTTAATCGCCAAGCCATCTCTCCAGCCCCAAGAAACTAAAAATTTTAACATGCATCTTCACAGTGATGATCTACTAAGATCAGTATTAGAGGTTGGATGTAGTTTTGGTATACCTACTATCCCAGTACTTTGGAGGAACAGGAAGGAGTATGAGTTTAAGATCACCCTCGACTACACAGAGATGCTCTGTCTCAAAAACAACAGAAGATCAATATTACAAAGAGTTGTGCCACGTACGGTGATACGTGCCTATAACACCAAGCCCTTGGGAGGAGGAGGTAGACTGCACAAGTCCAAGGCCAGCCTGGCCTATATAGTATGTTCCAGATCAGTCTAAGCTACAAGGAAAGCTGAATTATATCAACTACCACAATCTCAAGTAACACCAAAATTACTCTATTTCTTCTAAATCTTTAGAAACCATGCTTCCATTTCAAATGACATGTCAGAACAATGGAAGTTTACACAATACTGTTTCACTGGCTAAACACTGGGCATAAAAAGAACAAAGAAAACATATTTATTCCGGAGGAAAATTTTTACTTTTGGCCTCAAGGAAGAATATTTCTACATAATTCACATAATAAAATCAACACTTCTATACCAAAGAGTTTATGATACTAAAGTGAAAGAAAGGTAATGGTTTAGGTTTTGTAGCAATTTCTTTTAATTAGAAAGCTCTTTCAATTTTTTTTTAGGATTTATTTTTATTTTTATTTATGTGTATGTGTCTATGTGACTTGTATGCCAGGTGTGTGGGGGTGACTACAGAGGCCAGAAAAGGAGGTCAGAGTCCCTGGTGCCGGAGTTACAGGTGGTTGTGGCCCACCTGATACGGGTGCTGGGAATAGACCTGGGTCCTCTGGAAGAGCAGCAAGTGCTCCTAAGTGCTAAGCCATCTCTCTCTAGCTACTTTTTCAATATTTTGACAGGGTCTCTAAATTGAATATTCCTAATTCAGGCTAGGGAAATGGTCCAGTTGGTAAACTGCTTACTATACAAGCATGAGAACCTGAATTTGGATCACCAGTACCCAATGTAAACGTCAGACAGAGCAGTACATGTCTGTACTCCCAATACACAGGTAGGAAGAAATATAGACAAGTGGGTCCCTGGAGCTCAGTGACCACTCAGACTAGCTTAATCAGTGAGTTCCAGGTTCAGTGAGAGACCCTGCTCAAAAAATAAGGTAGAGGGGGCTGAAGAGATGGCTTAGTGGTTAAGAGCACTGACTTCTCTTACAGAGGAACTGAGTTTGATTCCCAGCACCCACATGTCAGCTAACAACTGTCTATAACTCCAGTTGCTGGGGATCCAAGACCCTCTTCTGGCCTCCCCAGGAACTGCATGACACGGATGCACGTACACATATGCAGGCAATACACTGATACACATAAAATAATAAAAATAATTTAAAATTAAAAAAAAAAAAAAGACAGAAGGCAATTGAGGAAGACACCTGGTGTTGCTCTCTGGCCTCCACACTCAAGCACACGTACATATACCCCATATAAACACACTAATATATGCAGATACTAAAAACTGCAAGAAAAAATTTCAAATTCATAATTTATAATTTAACACCGAATAAGTAAAAATAACTTACACTTCCTGTAATGTTTGTGATTCCAAGCTGATATTCCAGTTAGACAATCGATTATGACTCAAATCCCTGAAGGAAGACAAAATATTCTTAGTTTACTGTTGGAAAGTAGAATTAAAAGAAAAACAAGAGGGGCTAGATAAATACAGCTCAGTGTCAGGGGCTTACCTAGCATGTGCCTAGCCTGGGCCTGGTCCCTAACACAACAAAAGACGAAAAGAGAAAAGATGCAAAACTAAAGTCCTGCTAAATATGAATTTTAAGCCAGCATGGTGTCCCATTTGAGGCTAGCCTGATCTACGGTGAGCTCCAGGCCAGCCAAGGCCACATATGGTGACTGTGTCTTTTTTTTTTTTTTAAGTTAATTTCAGTAGTACAAAAAGAAATACTTACAAAAGACTGTCCAATTTCAGAACAGTTTTAATACTTCTTAATGTTTTTAGTAATTAAAATACATTAACATGGTTCAATAATCAAAAAGCATAAGCCAAGTATGATGGTCCTTGTCTGTAATTCCAGCACTCTGAAGGCTGAAATGGGAGGGACATAACCTCCAAGCCAGCTTGGGCTACATAGCAAAAGCTTGTCTCAAAGAACAAAAAAGGTATAAAAAAATGCTGTATTGGGGAGGGCAGTGCAAAGAGAAGAGGTGGTCTAAATATGATTAAGATGTATCATATGAAATACACAAAAATTCAATTAAAAATAGAAAAAAAATGCTGTAAAAAAAAAAAAATCCCTTGTCACCAGCTTCCCAGCAGCATTTTTCCAATAGCAACAAATGAATCTAGTGTTTCATATAGCCTTCCCAATATTTTATGTCTACACCAGTAATTTTTTATACAAATGATAATGTACACTTTTACCCCTTGTCTTCTTCACTTAACAATGAGTTTCTTCATCCCTTGTAGTGATTGGATAATACCAGGTTAGCTATAAATAAATTTTAAAGTAGATTTCACAAGTCAAAATAGTGAGTTGCCATACTAAAACTGAAGATGAGTTGGGCAACGATAGCAGAAAAAGGATACCACTGGAGGACAGTGAGTTCAAGGTCAGCCTGGACTGCACATCAACAACACCCTCTCAAAAAGCCAACAAAACTGACTACGTCCACGCCGGGCATGGTGGTGCATGCCTTTAGTCCCAGCACTCGACATTAGTCCCAGCACTTCAGTCCCAGCACTTGGGAGGCAGAGGCAGGCAGATCTCTTGAGTTCAAGGCCAGCCTCGTCTACATAGTGAGTTCCAGGCCAGCTGGGGCTACAAGGAGACCCTGTCTCAAAAACACCAGAAAAAAAAAAAAAAAAGAATCTGACCACATCTTTCAAGGGATCTGGTCTTCCTAGAAAGAGCTACTGTGGCAGTGCAAATGAGAAATGACCCCATAGGTCAAGTATTTGAACAGTTGGTATGTGGTCCCCAGTTAGTGGCACTGTTTGGGGAGGATCATGGAACCTTTAGGACCTGTGGCCCTGCTGGAGAAAGCACATCACTCGAAGTGGGCTTTGAGAGTTGATAGCCTTGCCTTCACTTAGAGTTTTCTCTCTGCTTCCTGTGTGTGCTTGAAGATGTGTGCTCAGCTTTCTGCTCTTCCTTCCTCTGCTGCCATGCCCCCCCCCCAACAACAGACTCTTCCCTCTGGAACTGTAAACCCAAACCCTTCCTTCTACAAATTGCCTTGGTCATGGTGTTCTATCATGGCAACAGGAAAGTAACTAATATGGGTAACTAGATTCTGGAGAGGATAAGTAATCTCACCCAAATGATGTTAATGATAAATGGTGATAGTGCTGACTTAATATTTATCTAATGCCAGGCAGTGTTCTATGTACTTTACAATTACATTAACTGGTTAAATTGCACACAACTACTTTAACAAGACAAATACATTTATGGTCCTCACTTTCCTTATATGAAATGCAGGCACACAAACTAATTACTCATCAATTCAAGGTCATACAACTAAAACCAGAGAAACCATTTATTCAAAATCCCATCTTCTTTCTAGCAAGTTGTTTATTAGAAAGAGAAGAAATTTCACTTAAGTTAATCATGAGTTTAAACTTTTTAACAGCCTTTTTAAAAAGTCACCTGGATGATTCCTGGCATCTTTTCAAGGCTAAGGTGGAATCCAGCCCACACAAGCTGTGTGCTCAAGAGATGTACTTTAAGTTACAATATATAGCTAGCAAAGGGAAAGAAAAACCTTACAGGTCAATTCACCTTGCTGTGCCACCACAGGCAGTCAGCAGGTACATGTAGGTTTTTTTTTTTTTTTTGAGACAGGGTCTCCCTGTAGCTCCAGCTGACCTGGAACTCACTATGTAGACCATACTGGACTCGAACTCACAGAGATCCACCTGCCTCTGCCTCCCAAGTGCTGGGACTAAAGGCGTGTGCTACCACGCCCAGCTCACATGTAAGTTTTTAATGATGTCTCTATCACAGCAGAACAATTTATTCTCAGCTAGATTCATACCTGCTCATCTGTAAAACTTAGCCACTTACATTTAAGAGTATAGTTTACACACTGTGACATAACTAAGCATATGTTAAACCAATATATTCCCATAACTGTGAAGTTTTTATTCCAAGATGTCTACAACAGGTATCAGCTAAAAGATACTCCTGAATAAAGGAAACCAAAAGATATTAACATCTGAATTCACTCCACAAGGAAATCCTGTATTTATGGCTTAGGATGTAGCACAGTGGTAAAGTGTGGACTCAGCATACACAAAACTCTGGATTCCATCCCCAGCACTAAAATAAAAAGCAAATCTTCCTGAGGGTAGTAGCACACACCTTTAGTCCCAGCACTGGAAAGGCAGAGGCAGGCGGATCTTTGTAAGATTGATCTGAGCCTGGTCTACATAGTGAATTTCAGGCCAGCTGTGGCTACAGGGAGACCCTGTCTAAGAAGAAAGCAAATCTTCTATTTGGAGACCCTCAGGGAACTTACACTTGCTACTAAATGACAAACACAGAATTCCATACAAATAAAAAGTTTTACTCCTGCTTCTGCTTTGCAGCATTTCAACTCTAGCAAAAATGCAACTGCTCCACTTTAAATGAGATAATCTATACTTTATTCTCACTGGTATGGTAAATAAAAAGCTAGTTAACATTTGGGTAGCAGGAGAGCATGGCATGATCTAATTCTGTACACTGTGAATGCTACAGTTTAATAATTCTGCCCTCAGAGATTCCAAGTTTTGATTTTAATCATAGCAGTGCTCATAATGACTTCCCAAATCCTAAATCTCTGTGGCAGCCTAAGTTTGGCTGCATGCCTCCCTAAGAATTCCCTCATGGATGTCACTCAGCATTAACAGACAACCCTTGACCAGAGACCTTGACCTTGACCTTTAAATAAAATTATTAAATTTAAAGCAGTAAAATTAAACTCAATTTATACATGTATAAACAACTCGATGCCAATATTAGTGAAGTTATCCAGTATTTACTTGAGAAGAGTATTTTTTTCTATTTTTAAAGAAATTATAGGATTTTTAGCCAGGCACGGTGGCATTAGTCTCAGCACTCAGGAGGCAGAGGGAGGCAGATCTCAGAGTTCGAGGCCAGCCTGGTCTACATAACAAGTTCCAGGCCAGGTGGGGCTACAGGGAGACGATTCCTTGAAGCTTTTTTTTTTCCTGTCTGTAGTCCCAGCTGGTCTAGAACTCGCTATTCGTCCAGTCTGGCCTTGATCTCACAGAGATCGGTCTGCCTCTGCCTCCCAAGTGCTGAGACTAAAGGTGTGCACCACCAGGCCCAGCTCCTGGGAGCATTTTTGCTTTATGTTTAAACTAGAGAGCTGGGGATGGTGTGTAAATACTTTCAGGATAAATAAGATTTTAAGGCATCATGATGCCTGGTGCTATTCTCCAGACTAAGCTTTCTATCCTTTCCTTGTAGTGTGTATTTCTTATTTTTAAATATTATTTCTATTTTATATGTGTGGGTGTATTGCCTACATGTATGTAAGTACACCTGTGTTGTGCAATGCCCGCAGAGTTTCGAAGAAGGCTTTGGATCCCCTGGAAATGGAATTATGGACAGTTATTAGCCGCCATATGGGTGCTGGGAATTGAACCCAGGTCTTCTGTAAGAGCAGTCTTGGGACTGGAGAGACGGCTCAGTGGTTAACAACACTGGCTGTTCTTGCAAAAGACCCAGATTCAAATCCAAGCACCTACATGGCAGCTAACAACTGTCCATGACTCCAGTCCTAGGGGATCCGACAGCCTCTTCTAATCTCTGCAGGCACTGCATGACACGGGTACACTTACCTATATGCAGGCAATACATGCATACACATACAAAATAAAAATAATAAAAATTTTTTAAAAAGAGCAGTATTAACCAGTGAGCTATCTTTCCAGCTCCAAACTGCTTATTTTCTAACACAGTATTGCTAAGGTTTGAATGAAGCACTTGGTTCGAGGCTGGGGGAGCTGTTTGTGGAAACTGTGGATTACCTGGAGGAAATAAGAGCTGGAGGGAAAGTAGGACTTGAGTTATAGGCCAGCCCTACTTCTGACCTGAGCTCTTTGTTTCCTGACCAAAAATGCCATGTAACCAGCTGCCTTACATTTCCACTGCCACAGCCCAAACTGCTCCTGCCACCATACCTTGCCCACCACAGACTGTATTCAATCAAACTATGAGCCAAGATAAATCTCTCCTCCCTGAAGTTTCTTCTGTTAGGTATTTTGTCACAGTAATACAAAAATAACTCATATAGTGATATAATATCCTTTGTAAGAATCCCAAAAGTAGGGGCTGGAGAGATGGCTCAGCAGTTAAGAGCATTGGCTGCTCTTGCAGAGGACCTGGGTTCAATTCCCAGCACCCACATGGCAGCTAACAACCATCTGTTGCACTTATACATGCAGGCAATACACTCATACACACAAAATAAAATAATAATAGCTTCCTGTGGCGGCCACCATTGGAGAGAGCAACAGCCATGGCTCGGCACTACCCCACGGTCATGGGTCTCAACAATGGCCACAAGGTGACGAAGAAGCTGAGGCACAGCCGGCAGTGTGGGCACCTCACCA